CCACTTAAATGATTTAAGCAGTTACTTATTCAATCACCTAACCAATTCATCGTTTAAATTGGTGGGTGTCATTTTATAATTGGGTTTTGCGATGTTCCATGGAATGTTCATCCTATCTCAGTTCCAAGCTGGGATAAAAGCACTGGAGAAAAAATGGAGGCTGGAGGCTGATTGGAAAGAGGGTCCATTTATTGAGGAACAGAACCACATGTTTGTAGTTCTGGTGCAGTTGACCACATGGAGTTGAGAGTAGGGGGTTATTTATACCTTCTCTCAGGCTTTGCACTTGAACTTCCTGTTCCTGTGCAAGAACATGTATTCTATTGGCTGTTGTCAGACTCCCATGGGGCCACGTACAAATCCCAGGAGTTTGTCTGGGTTAAGTTTGGTTGAAGTTTCTGAGGATGGTGCAGTGAAGGGGCGTGTCAGGGTTCTAACAGATGCCCTAATTAAATCATGAGCCTCAAGCCAAGCTTCAAAAGAAATCCAGTTTTTTATTAGGAGGTTCATGCCAGCATGGATCAGGTGAAGCCAACTCTGACCTCAGTTAATTTGTGCTTTGCCTCTGACCACCTTTCCCCTTCCCCACAATATGTGTCATCAGTCACATTCCCCACCAAAGCAATTTTGCAGGTTGTAAAAGTCACTCCCTCCGGCCACTGTGGATTCCCATGGAGATGACCTTGGTGTATCGAGTGGAATGTGCCTTGTTTTGACTAAGATACCAGCTCTTTAATGCAGCTGCAAAGTTCACTCTCCCATTCCCCTTGCCCATGGCAACTCGAAAGCAGTTCAGGGAATCTTTGCAAGTTGACAGGGCACTGGGCAATTCCTATTGTGGCTGAGGGCTAATCCTACCTTTGTTGGGTCTTGGGTGAAGGTATTTGCTTATGAATAAAGCTATCTATCTCTTTATCTCTTAAGTGCTGACCTCTGAGAGCTATTAAGAAAGGTGAGGGCTATTAAGAGTGAGTCTGCTTCCTGCCTCTAAAAAGCATGTATCTCCATTTCTCATTTAGAGAAATATATTCTTCCTTTTTAATATTTCTCAAAATATTTCATTCTTCTAGGGCTGGGTGCTAACTTTCTACAATAGTAAGAGTGAAAGCTGGATATCACCACTAGTGTTATATTTTTAATTGATTAAACTATATTATGAATTGTAAGAGTAAATTTTAGTAAATAAATAAAGTGAAATGAGGTTCTTTTAGGACAAAAGTTCACACAAATATTTGTTTTCATTAACGTGTTGTGCCTTAAAAGATTGCAAAAGAGTGTTTTTCTACAGGAAGCAGATGGACATTCCAGAAGTCAAAGGAAAGCTATTCATGCTATTTAAACACTTCCTCTTTGAAGTGGCTAATTGCCTAAGCAGAGGCTTCAAGTAACTCTAGTTAATTAAGAATTGCCCATGTGATAAAGCACAAAAGAGTTGTATGGTGATTAAAAATATTTGTAGCCACAGTCCTAAACATAATCTCTGGAAAATGCAACTTTGTACTTGTGCAGGCTCAGACTGTCTATAAACAACTTTATCAATTCGAAACCAGATTTGGATAATCTTTTAAGCCAGAGATCATCACTGAGAAACACATGAGATTTCATGTAGAGCAAATGGAAGGATAGGGGAAAATGGATTTGACACTTTCCACTAAAATCAGAGTAATACCATTAAAGAAAATAATAACTGCAAGACTCAGTTTTGCTAGTCATTGGCAATATTGCTGTTGAATGCTCTGAGATCTGTTACTGGAACTTGAGGATCTTTTCTTTATTCTGTTTGGATATGTTTCATTAAGTTTGAATGGCTGATTTGTTAAATATCTTAAAGTTTCATTTCTTGTATTTGAATTTTGTAATTGTATTTTGAATTTGGCTCTTCAGAAAACCTCTCTGCAAAAAGCTGATTCAAGACATGATCATGTGCCTAGCAAATAATGGAAGTTAATGGAGTTATTTAAAGTACTTCTCAGTTTCCAGGACTTAGTCATTTAATTGTTCAACTACCTCTTTTGCTGATACTCTGCTTTTAAAGTGCTGAGAAAATAATTGTTATGTGTTTTTAGCATGATACAGTACTGAGGGTCACATAGCAACCCTTAAATGTTTTGCTTATCTCATTTTTCTCAGAAATGTATACTCCTCCTCCTCCTCCTCCTCCTCCTCCTCCTCCTCTGCTTATTTGTGTTACTGCATTTCTCAACCAAAATTTGCAAATGAGTTTTCATTGGAGTAGTTTTTGAAATTTTTCTTCAGGACAATTAGAATGTAACTCCTTATCAATGTTTGTTTAGTTCACGGGTGGCATCATGATGCTATTATGTGACGTATTGCAATTTTTTTTTCCCCTTTGCAGAGTGTGTCCTGTGCGTGATGCACTCAGGCCACAGGCCCCCCAGTTTGACACCCCTGGCTTAGTTAATCACCTCAGGGATTTTTTTCAAGACTAGCATCACACTGGATTTTGGGGGGCAGGTGTGTGTGTGTGTTTAGATTGATAGTGGCCTGCCACTATCATTAGTTGTTTGAGATAAATTTTTGAGCAATCTATTATGATTAATTAGATGAACAGGAAAAGAATTCTTTTTAGAAAGAAACTTACAAAAATTGTAGTGTGGCTCATAAATCAACTTCACATATCCATTTCACATAACTGCCTTCAGACACCTGAAATACTAGTCCAAACTAGTAACCTTGGCCCCAAGGAATCCCCCCTTTCTCCTCCAGCCCCTTCCATGTATCATCTGCCAAGTAACTTTTGTAAAATTTCCAGAAATTCTACAAAAATGGTTTTCTCCTCAAACTAACACATTTAAACTGAATTGATAAGCATCTTTGTTGTTGCCATATGCATCACTGCTCTTCACTTGCTAAAGGAGAATCAGAAAAAATAACCCCTCATTGGGATGAAGTGTCAGGAATTGTGGAAAAATAATATTCAGAGGGAGTGAAGTTATATGCAAGTGATAAACTACTCCTTTTTGGTTAGTGCTGAGGTATACAAGCTGTCATTCAAGGTTACAAATATTGACTGTCTGTATACACAATACATAGTGTCTCTGGAAAACAGTGTTGCAGTTTATTCAGAGATTCCAACTGGTTGGAAAGTGTGGGAGGAAAGGAAGGATAGTCTGTCAAAATAAAAGATGTTTACACCATTTCCTCCTTTTGGAGAAAAAAAATCAATGTTGATGTTTGTGTGGGTGTATGGCAGTGACTTTGTTGCTGATTGGCTTTGTCTTTCAATGTAGAAAGAGAGAGAGGCCAAGCTTTTTTTCAGTCTAACACAACCCCCAGATTTGTAGCTTGTGTATCATATTCTCAGCTGTGGTTTCCTGCATTATCACCAATGTCCTTCTCCACTCCCTGGAATATAATAAGTTCATTTTACTAAGAATTTTTTTTATAACAAAACTTCATATTTATAATTGATGTTTGTTTTTTTCTCCACCAGCACTTTCAGCTTTTCAAATGGTCACTTTTTAAAAAATAGGTTAGTGGTTTTATGCATAATTATCCATTACTCTGAAAATAAGTGATAATAACCACCATAAATCAATTACAAAAGACTGCTTTACTCAGGACAGCTTATATCCTGTGACAATACCTTTACATCATCCAACATCAACATCTGCCTATGTCAAGTCCTTGGAAAGGACTCTATAGGTGAATAAAAATGCCAATTCCAGTCTAATCTGACTGACTGTGCAACAATATGGATTAAAAACACCAAAATAAGTCTGAACACCTGGCTGATTGCATTGTGCAACCAACCACAATAATAACGAACTTATTGGCTGCTCAATTGTCAGTGACTTTAGGATATTTTCTGTATGTGAAGAGAGCAAGAAAATAATGGAGATACAATGTAGCAATTAATGTTAAGGATATGATTTAAATTAGGTGTTTTCAAAAATGAACTTGGTATTTCCTGGAGCCCAAAATAAGGACCAGTCATTTATGGAGTATCTAGTTTTCTAGTTGAGTATTATATTATGACAAGCAAAATCAAAGAGCAGAATTAATCAGTTGGATTGATAGACAGATGGTCAGGCAATATCTCTAACTCCAAATGAATGCAAATCTTGTGTCATAGACTTTAAATCTTATGTCCAATATGCCCTCATTCAGTCCGAATATTTGAATGAGACTAAATATCCCTAACTTCAGAAAGAAAAAGTGGAGGGTTTGCCTAAAAGATAATTTTCAGAAAGTGCTCCAGATTCCTCATTAAATCTGGAGAGTGATATTGAGTGGGTTGTCACAAGGTTCATTCTTGGGACCTGTACTCATCAGCATTTTTATTAATTGAAGGGATGGAGGAAATGCTGATCATTTGCAGATAACAAAAAGGTAGGGTACACAAATGATCTTGAGAAACCACATAATTTTATGGTAAAGTAATTAAGAATTTCTCACAAGGTTACAAGGTAAGGTTGACAAAATATATTAAGTCTGGATTGTTGTACTTATAGAGCTTTAATATCGTGCTTCAGATGCAGAAGTTTCCCAATAATTATATTTTTAGCTGAAGATTTAAATCTTTATATATTACTAAGTCAGCCAGGAAAAATTTTCTTCCAAATGGAAGTAATTTTGTTTTTTCTCTAAAACCGAAAATACTACATAAGGCAGGAGAATGATTTTTCTTTTGAGAGCTTCATTATGAATCATCTCCAAGTTGTAAGAAAATATTCAGATTTGTTAAACTTCTATAGTTCTGGGATTCGGGAAAAATCTGTTCATTTTATGACAGATTGATAATGAACAGGTTTTTATTTTACAGTTTTGTCTTTCCTAATTAATATGAATAAATATGACAATTGCCATTTTTTCCTATTGGAAACCACCTGGAAAACTGTTTTTAACATTAAAATCATTTTAGAAATTTAATGAAATTATTTTCCTAGATGAAGAAATTACATTTTTTTTCTTTTTACGGGGAAACAAAAATCAGCTTCTTTGCCAGATATTGTTCTTAGATTGTTTGTCTTTTTTAGATGTGGTATTAGAGAAGGCCATGCATAAATGCATCTTGAAACCCCTCAAGGACCACATCGAAATGATGTTGAAAGAATTCCACACAGCTGATGGCTCATGGAAACAGTTGAAAGAAAATCTTCAACTTGTCCGACAGCGAAATCCTCAGGAGCTGGGTGTTTTCGTCCCAACACCAGATTTTGTAGATGTTGAAAAGATTAAAGTCAAATTCATGGCAATGCAGAAAATGTATTCTCCTGAAAAGAAAGTTATGTTGCTACTAAGAGTATGCAAACTGATTTACACTGCGATGGAAAACAATTCAGGTAAATGTTAGATTTGGCCAAAGACTTTTAAGTTATTCAGAGATGTTTCTGCAAAATGAGAACCATTTCATCTGCCAAAAAACCCTCACATTTTCTTTACTTTTGATATATTGTAATATCATACACTGCTATAGTATTTCAAACAGTCTAAATTTTGGCTCCAGATGAGGTAAGGTGACATACTTTTTTCCAAATCTTGATGCAATTCAGACTGTATCAGATTTCTGTTAGAATTGAGCTAGATATGTTGAATGGGTTGGGGAAAAATAAGAATTTTAGTTGTCATTAACCATGCTTCAGATTTCCTTTTGTGAATACTTTATTATAGAGGTAATTATAAAGATGCTTATTGGTCTGAATTTAAATGATGTATCAGTGTTGTATGAGAAAGGCTGTTCATATTTGTGCCAACTCACATTGTTTTTAAGCACCAAAATAATTTTTTGAGAGTCAAAATAACAAAATAAACATATGCAATATTCTGTGCTTCTTTGGAAATTGCAGTTATGCTCCCACTTCTATATTCAGTCCAACCCGTATATTCATTCAATAAACACCATTGTAATTGCTGCTGTTGTGTTACTGTATATTGAAGGGTGTTACAAAGTGCTAAATGCCAAAGTCAACTATTTTTATATGGGATGGTTAATAATAGCTTAGATTCTTTGGTATCTCCATATGTGATATAACATCTTAGCAGATAAGTCCCAAACTGACCCATTTTCCAGTCCTGATAGTGCAAGAATTATGTTATGGGGTTTAATTATTTGAAAACTTTTGAGGATATTTACTAACATGAATGGATGAATGAAATTCTTTGATATGAAAAATGTAGGTTTTTTTAATCAATTGTTTCCAGAGATACTATTCCTCTCTTACCAGTCAAAAATTTCTAAGTAAAATCAGCAAAAATAAAGCATTAAAATCATGTATTGGTGATTTTGAAATCTACTTTCATACACTCCAATAACATGAAGAGTTAGGATGAGCCAACTTCTAAAATTAGTTAATAGAAGGCTATGAAGCTAATCAGGACCTTACAATATCAGGTTGTCAAATTTGTATGGACCAGTGGTTTGATTCATGAAGTGTTTCAATATGTGAATAGGAGATAATTTGCTTAAAATTTTGAGCTATTTATTCTTAATGTATTGGTTCTTTATTATATCCTGCTTCCATTCCTTAAGGAGCTCTGTTGAGACATGGCTATTGAGAGCATCTAAACAATATCAGAATAAATTCCTACTTTATAAGCAAAGTTAAGGCTGCATCCAAAAGCTCCATGAGTTCCTATAAACCCCTGAATATATTCAGTGACAGTATTATAGGTATCTGAATGTTGTCATGGATAAAAATGAAAATGGAGAGCACAGCTTTTATAATGGAAAACAGCAAAAAGCTCTGGCAATTAATTCTGCTATTGTTTGTGTCCTGCCTCTCTACATTTCCTATCCTTTGCCTAGGGAGAATGTATGGGGCTGATGACTTTTTGCCAGTGCTGACCTATGTTGTGGCTCAGTGTGATATGCTGGAGTTAGATGCTGAAATTGAGTACATGATGGAACTGCTGGACCCATCCTTGCTGCATGGAGAAGGTAATGTCCTTGAAACTTTCAGGATGATGACTTTTCTCCCAGGAATGTGATTACTGATAGTATGTCTGAATAGAGAAACTTGAAAAGTATGCCAAGGCTTCTAACTTGTTACCAACTACTTATCAAAAAAGCCCCACAAAACAAAACAAAACAGAGATAACCAAACCAAATAAAATTAAAAGTATTTTTCCAAATGCTATGAGAAGTAAAAGGAGGGCATTTTTTAATCAATGAAGTGTGTGTCTATGTGTCTGTATGTGTATACTTGGAAACTGGAAAATCTGTTAGCCTGTTAATTTAGATTATAATAGCTACAGTATGTTAACACATATTGCTTGAACAACAAGTCTGATTCTATGTGACTTTCCTCACAACAAAGCAAACAAGCTATATCTCTTGTGATATCCAGTTGTGTTCCTGAAAGTCTCCCTTATTGCATTTCAGCAATGTGGGAAAGGTTTTTTTTCATATTTATATTTTTGAGTGTCAATTTAAAATTATCCTCCTGTATTACAGAAGTGAATTACTTCAGATTTGTATTTCCATTTTGAAAGCCAGGAAAGTCTACAGAATAGCCTGGGTGCCAGAAGTTGCCATGGTTAGATGATGTAGACATTGGTATTTGAATATTGATCTTTCTCCCATGAGCTGTTCAGAGCATCCAGAAGTGGGAGGTGCTTCAGTCTCTTCTGGAAAAGCTGGGCTTAAAACTCTGGGACGCTCCTCCTCCTCCATGGGACACCTCCTCAGCATCTCCCAGTTTTAGCTCAGCCTTCATGGTAAGAGGTTGTGTACTCCCTGACTGGAACGGTTTCTGATTCAGCTAGTCAAGATTCAGGTTTGCTCTTGGGTTAATTCAGCTTGCAAATTTTTCCCCCTATTAATCTGGCGATTTCAGGGCTTGTGGCTCTATTAGGTTATTCCCCCAATCAGTTGAGAGCAGCTCTTTGTGACTGGCGGAGCCTGCCACTTCGCAGGCAGTCTGAGATGGCCGCTTCAGGCAATTAGCCTAATTCCCTGATCGTCTTATCTTTGCAATCTTGCCAGAACGCTCGCAGCCGCAGCTCACTTCTCCTTACAGGATCACTTGTCTGACATTTTGGAGACTCAGTCACCCAGCCCAGACAGGCTATTTCTGGACAGCCTCCCATAGGCATATCTCCTCCAATGAGCACTGCCCGGCGAATCCCAGAGGCAACCTTTACCCCTATGGCCGCTGGTTTAAGACAGGAGGAGGGATTACCTGAGACTATTCCCATCGAAATGAGGCAATGGATGGAGATGGCCATACAAAAGGGCATTGCGGCTGGAGTTCAGCAATCCATCCGGACCAGGCACTTTTCGGCTACTTCGGAAGCGGGATCACTGTCTGCTCAATCCTTTGCACATATGGGACATCATCAAACTCAGGTATTCCCCAATATCCCTGACATACCAGTCCATGATCTTCGGGAGGAGGTGGAATTAGATGACCAGGATGTTCCCATGGAGGTGGGGCCGATCCATCAGATGGACTTGGGGTTGTCAGAGGCTGACCCACTAGGACAAGGAATGTCGGATGACGAAGGCCTCATTCCGGACCAACCTACCTTTTCTGGCTTTTTTCATCCACATCTCTTTAAATCTTTACTGTTCAAAGCAAAGAACACCACTAAACTAGGCACAACAAGCCCTCATCCATTGTCAATAGGGTCTCAGGACGAAACCGAAGATCTAATATTCTCACAACCGCTAATGACGCAGAAACTATTCTTGTCCCTCCTATGTTTGCTGAATTAGTACAAAATCAATGGGCATCAGCAGCATCCTACCCAGCCCCAACAGGGTACGATAAATGATATTATAATTTGGCACCAGAGTTTTCAAATTTTCTCAAAACGCCGGAGGTGGATGAGCCCATTGTGGCACTGGCCTCTTCTTCAACCTTTCCCAACGAGGCTGAGGAAGTCCTGAGACCGGAGGAAAAGAGAGCAGAGTTGGCACTCCGTAGGGCGCATGTTTCTGACACCTGCGCCATTAGGGCAGCTACAGTTGCGTCCTTTTTTACACGGTCCTCCCTACAATGGCTCTTCCACTTGAGGGATATATTGCCGGCGTCAAATGTCAGAGTCCATCAGGACATTGCTAAGATTATTGCAGCGGCAGAATAATCCACCGACGCCACATTTAATGCAGTCAAATTCTCATCTAGGGCCATAGCATCTCGTGTATCAGCACGGAGACTGCTATGGCTCAGACATTGGCAGGCGGATACCAAGCATAAATGCAAGTTGGCATCAGCCCCAATATCGGGGGATAAATTATTTGGCAGTGTCTTGGAGCCCCTGCTTATTGAGAATAGAAACAAGTGCTTCCCCCTCTTTTTCGGAGGTCTGAAAACCAAAAGCCCCAGTCTTTTCGAAGGGGTTCCTTTCGGACCTACTATCAAGGCCCATACGTTCCCAGATCGCAAAGAACATCAGACTACAGACCCAGTTTGACACAGGATAGGTCGGAATCTTCCAACAGAGGTCAGTGGGGAGGCCAAAATAGAAGAAACCCCAGAGGTACGAGGCCGATTTTTTCGTCGCCCCAAGTAAGTCCTTGACAGCAGCTCCCATTGGAGGGTGGCTAAAATTGTTTGCTGATCAATGGGACAGCTCCACCTCTGATGCGTGGGTCAGGGACTCTGTTAGGTTTGGTTTGGTGCTAGAGTTTCAGTCCTCCCCTCCGAACTTTTTCATTAGGAGCCCTAGGTCCACGGACCCCATTAAGAGACCGTTGATGTAGGAGGCTGTCAAATCATCTTCTCCATATTCGGTCCATTAGAGAGGTCCCATCTGAACAACGGGGTCAAGGCTGTTACTCTCTATTGTTTGTGTTCCCAAAGAGTTTGGGGGGCTGGAGGGCAATTCTGGACCTCAAACGTCTGAACAGAACATTGGTTTATCGAAAATTCAAAATGACTACTCTCCAGTCCATTCTGCTCAGCATCAGAGAGAACGATGTCCTGACCTCTATAGATCTGACAGAGGCTTATCTACATATACCAATTAGACCTGCTCACTACAAGTACCTTAGATTTTGCTATTGTGATCGGCACTACGAATATATCGCCCTACCATTCGGTCTGGCTTTGGCCCCCAGGACTTTTACCAAGGTCCTAGAGGCTTTGGCTGCCTCCCTCAGGATCAAATCTATTCGTTTACAATGTTATCTGGATGATATTTTAATTTTGTCATCTTCCAGACATCAAGCAAATTTGGATACCAAGATTACTCTGGAGACCCTTCAAGGTCACGGCTTTTCCATAAATTGGGATAAAAGCCATTTGATCCCTTCAACTAGGTTAGTTCATTTAGGGGCAGTGATAGATACCGTGGAGGGCAAGGTTTTTCTCTCTCAGGACAGGTTGAAGAGTATCCAGTCTTTGGCCAGAGAGATCAGAGCCTTAAAGAGGGTTTCCCTGGCAGTTCTGCCTCAACTGTTAGGGAAACTGATTTCTTGTATTTCCATTGTGCCTTGGGCTTGATTCCATTCTAGAGATCTGCAATGGTTCCTGCTACCTTTCCAGCGATCTGGAAGAGCCACTTCCAACGTCTGGATAAAGGTACCGCACAATGTTCTCCGATCATTCCGCTGGTGGTCGGAAAACACGATAAACAAGGGGTGTCCTTTCAAGGAACCTTGCAGGGCAACGATCACAACCGATGCTCACTTCCAATCCCACACTGCGCAGGGAATTTGGACTATTTCTGAACAATCACAAAGCATCAACCTGTTGGAGCTGCGAGCAGTTCATCTGGTGTTACACAGTTTTCTAGCCCTTTTCCAATCACGCCACATTCTGGTCTTGACAGACAATATCACAACCAAGGCCCATATAAACAGACAGGGGGGTACCCACTCCAAACTTCTAATGCTGGAGACGGCCAGGTTGTTCAAGTAGGCCGAGGCCAATCTGTTGTCGCTCAAGGCAGAGCACAAAGCAGGGGCCTTAAACACACAAGCGGACTGGCTCAGCAGGGCCTCGATAGATCAGGCAGTGGCGCCTACACCTGTCTCTCTTCCAGGAAGCAGTGCGGAGGTTTGGGCAACCGGTGATCGATCTATTTGCCTCTCCCCTCAACGCCCAATTGCCCTGGTATATTTCAAGGTACCCGACTCAGGGGGCCAAGGCCATCAATGCCCTGCGATGTCCGTGGCCTCCCGGACTTCTATATGCGTTTTCTCCACTCCCTGTAATACCCAGGTTGATCCAGAAGTTATTGGAGGAATGAGCGGAACTGGTCGCCCCTTACTGGCCCAGGTGAATGTGGTTCACGGACTTACAGGACCTGTCGAGAGGACAACCTTGGAAAATTCCACCATCGAGGATTTCCCTCTCGCAAGGGCCGGTACTTCACCCGGACCCACAATGGCTCAGCCTAGCCGTATGGAGGTTAAGCGGAGCCATTTAAGGACCCAACAGATTTCAGAGGATGCCATTGCCACCATACAAGCATCCAGATGGTCCTCAACAAATCGTATATATGAGGCCACGTGGTCCGCTTTCTGTCGCTGGTGCCGGGGGTCTAAGATCGACCCAACAATAGGACAATTATTGGACTTTTTACAGGAGGGGTTGACTAAGGGCCTATCTCCAAATACTTTACACAGACAGGTAGCGGCCTTAGCCTCGGTGATATCCTGGGGTGACCTTCATTCCATAGCGCACCATCCACATGTCCACAGCTTTCTTAAGGGTGCTGTAAACTTACGATCTCCTGTAATTCACCGCTATCCCACTTGGGAGCTCAACAAGGTGTTAACCGTACTTACAACTGGCCCATTCGAGCCTTTAAGAACCGCTAGTCTCAAATTCCTGACATATAAGGTGGTCTTCTTAATTGCGATCACATCAGCAAGGATGATTTCCGAGTTGGCAGCATTGTCGATGAGAAAGGGCCTGTGCATGTTTCATGTGGACAGAGTGGTTCTCAGATTGGATCCATCATTCATCCCTAAAGTAAATTCAGCCT